CATTTCCTTCTCCAGGGGATCATTCTGACCCAGGGATTAAATGTGGGCCTCCTGCATTGCAGGCAGATTCTTTACCACTGAGCCACCAGGGAAGGAAGAATCAATATTGTGAAAATGACTATATTACCAAATGCAATCTACAGATTCAGCACAATCCATATCAAATTACCAATGGCATTTTTTTCACAGAACTAGAATAAAAAAATTTCACAATTCATATGGAAATACAAAAGACCCTGAATAGCCAAAGCAGTCTTGAGAAAGAAGAATGGAGCTGGAGGAATCAGCCTTCCTGACTTCAGATTATACTACAAAGCTACAGTCATCAAGACAGTATGCTACTGTCTCAAAAACAGAAACATAGACCAATGGAGCAAGATTGAAAGCCCTGAAATAAATCCATGCAACTATGGGTACCTTATTTTTGACAAAGGAGTCAAGAATATACAATGGGGCAAAGACAGCCTCTTCATTAAGTGGTGCTGGGGAAATTGGACAGCTACATGTAAAAAAATGAAATTAGAACACTTCCTAACACCATACACAAAGATAAACTCAAAATGGATTAAAGAACTAAATGTAAGATCAGAAACTATAAAACTCTTAGAGGAAAACATAGGCTGAACATACAATGACATAAATCAAAGCAAGATCCTCTATGACCCACCTCCTAGAGTAATGGAAATAAAAATAAATAAATAAACAAGTGGGACCTGATTAAACTTAAAAGCTTTTGCATAGCAAAGGAAACTATAAGGGTTGAAAAGACAACCCTCAGAATGAGAGAAAATAATAGCAAATGAAGCAACTGACAAAGGATTAATTTCCAAAATATACAAGCAGCTCAAACAACTCTCAATACTAGAAAAACAAACAACCCAATCAGAAAGTGGGAAAAAGATGTAAACAGGCATTTCTCCAGAGAAGACATACAGATGGCTAACAAACACATGAAAAGATGCTCAACATCGCTTATTATTAGAGAAATGCAAATCAAAACTACAATGAGATATCACCTCACACCAGTCAGAATGGCCCTCATCAAAAAATCTACAAACAATAAATGCTGGAGAGGATGTGGAAAAAAGGGAACCCTCTTACACTGTTGGTGGAAATGTAAATTGATACAGCCATTATGGAAGATGGTATGGAGATTCCTTAAAACACTAGGACTAAAACCACCATATGACCCAGAAATCCCACTCCTAGGCATATACCCTGAGGAAACCAAAATTGAAAAAGACACATGTACCCCAATGTTCATTGCAGACTATTTACAATAGCTAGAATATGGAAGCACCCTAGATGTCCACCAACAGATGAATGGATAAAGAAGTTGTTGTACATATAAACAATGAAATATTAGTCAGACATACATAAAAAGGAATGCATTTGAGTCAGTTTAAGGGGGAGGATGAACCTAGAGCCTATTATACAGAGTGAAGTAAGTCAGAAAGAGAAAGAGAAATATCATATACTAATGCATATACACAGAATCTAGAAAGATGGTACCGAAGAATTTATTTACAGGGCAGCAGTGGAGAAACAGACATAGCCAACAGGCTTATGGACACAGGGACGGGGAGGAGAGGGTGAGATGTATGGAGGAGTAACATGAAAGCTGATGTTACCATGTGTAAAATAGGTAGCCAACAGGAATTAGCTATGTGTCTCAGGAAACTCAAGCAGGATCTCTGTATCAACCTAGAGGGGTGGGATGGGGAGAGAGATGGGAGGGAGGTTCAAGAGGGATGGGTTATATGTACAACTATGGCTGATTTATGTTGAGGTTTGACAGAAAACAGCAAAATTCTGTAAGGCAATTATCCTTCCATTAAAAAATAAATTAACTTTTTTTAAAAAGTCTACCAATAACAAATGCCAGAGAAAGTTTGGAGAAAAGGGAACGCTCCTACACTGTTGGTGGGAATATATTAATAAATTGCTACAGCAACTATGGAGAACTGTGGAGTTTCCTCAAAAAAACTAAAAATGGAGTTGCCATATGTTTCTGCAGTCCCACTCCTGGGCATATATCTGGGAAAAAATATAATTCAAAGAGATACATGTATCCCAGTGTTCACAAGTAGCACTCTTCGCAATTCACCAATACATGGAAACAACCCAATATCCATCAACAGATGAATGGGTAAAGAAAATATGGTACATGGGTACAATGGAACACTGGCCATAAAAAGGAATGAGTGCCATTTGTAGCACTGGACCTAGGTGCTTCTCAGGTGGCACTAGTGGTAAAGAACCCACCTGCCAATGCAGGAGACATAAGAGATGTGGATTCAGTTCCTGGATTGGGAAGATCCCCTGGAGGAGGGCATGGCAACCCACTCCAGGGTTCATGCCTGGAGAATTCCAAACACAGAGGAGTCTGTGGGCTACAGTTCATAGGGTTCCGAAGAGTCAGACACGACTGAAGCAACCTCAGACACACATGCACAGTTGGACCTACAGATTATCATACCAAGTGAAATAAATCAGAAAGACAAATATCGTATGATGTCACTTATACGTGGAACCTAAAATATTATGCAAATAAAATAATCTATGAAACAGAAACAGACCCACATACATAGAGAACAGACTTGTGGTTCTATGCAGGCTTCCCTAGTGGCTCAGAGGTTAAAGCGTCTGCCTCCAATGCGGGAGACCCGGGTTCGATCCCTGGGTTCGATCTCTGGGTCAGGAAGATCCCCTGGAGAAGGAAATGGCAACCCACTCCAGTATTCTCGCCTGGAGAATCCCATGGACAGAAGAGCTTGGGAGGCTACTGTCCATGGGGTCACAAAGAGTTGAAGTTTGCTGGTCATAGAACTTGTGGTTCTATGTGTTTCTTGCTATGAGGAAAATGGTTAGGGGAGGGATGGTCTGGGAGTTTGGGGTTAGAAGATGCAAGCTAATACATATAGAATGGATAGACAACCAGGTCCTACTATAACAGAGAACTATATTCAACATCCTGTGATAAGCCATAATGGAAAAGAATACACACACACACACACACACACACACACATATATATATATAACTGAGTCACTGAGCAGAAATTAACAGAACACTGGAAATCAACTATACTTCCATTAAAAAATAAAGAAAGAATAAATTTCAAAAAGAGTGTTGTCTCTGAAGCTAACACAGGAGAGGCCTTGACGAGGAAGGCAGTGGGCCGCAGTGATTCAGCCCCGAGGAGCTGCAGTCAGCGAGGTCTGACAAGCCCTTTGGTCCCTTGATGTCTTTCACCACTCCCTTAGAGACAAGAGACAGCTCTTTCCTCTGACTGGAGGGCAGGGAGCAAGGCTGTCAGCTACGCAGGGAGTTGCGGGAGGCTGCACTTGGCTGCCTTAACTTCTAAAAACAGGAAACAGGGCATGCGCTAGAGGAGGAGACATGAAGGAAGGAGGGTGAGGAGGAGGTCAAGGCACAGGACGGCCTTGGGATGCAGCGGGGGGAGGCCCCGGCCGCAGCCAAGGAACAGAGCTCCAGGGGAATCCGGAAGCCTTCACGCCCCTGCGAACAGGACTGAGTCTGATCACGGGGAAGCTCTCTTCCACCCTGTTCACCTTGATTCTGCGGGGAAGGGTTCGTTTGGGCCGTGCTCCTCACTCTCGGTTGCTCGGTGGAATCACCGACTCAGTTCCACACCTAGAGATTCTGATTGATTTGTTCTGGGATGAGGCCTGGGCGGTGAGAATGCTTAAAAATTCTCAGATGATTCTTATTTACAGCCAAGATTGAAAACCACTGCCTTAGTAACCTTTAGCACACTTGGCAGACATTATACACCAAAAGCGGAAGAGTCAACAAGATAAGTTTTTCTGTGGTTAATGTCTAGTCTAAGGAGGGGAAATGTTACTGACCTGCCTACTATTCCTGTGTCTGTCTGGTTTTTCCTTTCCTCTGGATATGTGTTTTCTTTGGAAAAGACATATATGACATATCGGCATCTTAACAGCTAGCTCGTATGCTTACTGTGTGGCAAACATATTATCAAGTTTCATCTTCAAAACAACCCCATGAGGTAGGTACTCACATAATCCCCATGTTACAGATCAGAAAACCGAGCTGCAGAGAGAGTAATTAAGTTTTCCATGGCCATCTAGATAGAGCACCAGAGACAGAATCATGCAGGCACATTCAAAAACCTCTGGGGGGTGACCTCTCATCTAAGCGAGACCGACCATACCACTCACTAGAAGCTCTCAGCTATCCTTTCCCTGCCTTTTAGAAACTTCAGAACCAAATGCCCTCAGATCTCTTTCCAATGTGTTTACTCTTTGGCTTAATTTGTTGATCCCATGGAAGAGGTGCAGTGGCATTGGCTGTAATACAAAACTGATGCTACAGTTGCCTTGAAAAGTGAAAGTGTTAGTCTCTCAGTCCTGTTCGACTTTATGAGATCCCATAGACTATAGCCCACCAGGCTCCTCTGTTCACAGAACTCTCCAGGCAAGAACATTGGAGTGGGTTGCCACTCCCTTCTCCAGGGGATCCTCCTGATCCAGGGATCAAACCCAAGTCTCGCGCACTGCAGGCACTCTTTACTGTCAGCCACCAGGGAAGCACAGTTGTCATAGATGGATCTAAAACGTTCCTTAAATTCGGTCAGAACACACGCGGCCACTCACAGATGAAGGAGTCTTCTACAAGCCAGAGCATCTTCCCTCAAGGTCAAGGGTATGTTCGCCACTTCTGCAATAGATCATTGTTTCCACAATGAAGTACAGACACTCCATGGGGTGAGACTCTGTGACACTCCCTGAGACAGCTTCTGTTAGCTCCAGATTTATAGTCAAGTAAAAGTCAGCCTTCTACTGTTTCCTTAAACTAGTTATTTTTAGCTGCATACACAAATCTGTGCTCTTGTAAGCAAACTGTATAAACAGCTGAGGTCTGCATGCTAACACAGTGTACACGATTTTTTTTTTTAAGTAAAGATTTTTAAAGGTAAATTCAACCCAAGGAGCAAGAAGTAGTTGTGTTTTTACCATAGACATTGCCTGGACTTCTTTCTTTTCCAGTTTTTTTCAGTTTTGCTGGATCTTTTTGATGATTTTCTTCAGCATCGTAGCCACTCTTTTCATAGTTCTCAAGGGCTTCTTGCTGAGTGATAGACGTCATTGCGGCTTCTCTATCCTCCTCTCGAAAAGAGCCTTTTGCTTCGAGGGCTTTCAAATCATCAGTAAGGGCAGATTTGCCACACTGGTGCTTGGGCAACCTGCACAGAAAGAAAAGACTGCGAGAATGAGGGGGTGAGTCCCACCTGGCACCACTGGGCTCGGGAGCTTCAGGCTTGGGTATCTGCTGATGGCTCCATTACCAAACCAGCAGTTGTCCTAGGTTTGCAGGGGCGCTGGGACAAACATCAGAATAATATGTTTAGCGCTATCAACTTTACCTCCAGGATGTGGGATTAGAGGATGGGAAACGCAGTGGACAGCAAAATTGTTACTGTTTGCTCTAATATACTTACGTGCTCCTTGAATTTTATCAGTCCTGTATTACTCTTACTATTGAAAAACAAGGAAACAGAAATCAAAGCATACCAGAATCGTCAAACACAGGAGCATCTGAACCCCAGTGGTCTGAGTCAAGGGCTGGTTTCCCTGTGACCTGAGGGAGACGGTCCCTGCAGGACACAGAACCATGGGACAAGCCCGGCCCTGCCCTCAGCTACCTCCTGACAGGCAAGGTGGGTTGTAGCGGGGTGTCCCCTCGGCTTGGGTCCCCACACTGCTCAATGAGGTCTGGAGGTGGGTACTGATTAGTGCCGCCTAAAAATGAAATAAAACATCACATCAAATAAAGCACAAAATAGTACGAAACTCAAAAATAAAATGAAGTAAAATAAAGCACAAGACCAAAATGTTATCCATTAAGACATAAACTAAAATCAATTAAAGTATACAATATACAATGAGCAAAATAGAGTATGACAAAATAAAATACAAAACAAAAAAGTCCATTGACATAAAATCAAAAAGATGTAAACCCGAAGTATAAATTTTTATTTTTGTATTTTGTGTTTTGAGTTTACATCTTTTTGATTTTATGTCAATGGACTTTTTTGTTTTGTATTTTATTTTGTCATACTTTATTTTCCTTCACTGTATATTGTATACTTTAATTGATTTTATTTTATGTCTTATGTCTTAATGGATAACGTTTTGGTCTTGTGCTTTATTTTACCTCATTGCATGAGACAAGTGCTCAGGGCTGGTGCACTGGGATGACCCAGAGGGATGGGATGGGGAGGGAGGTGGGAGGGGAGTTCAGGATGGGGGACACATGTAAATCCATGGCTGATTCATGTCAATGTATGGCAAAAAGCACTACAATATTGTAAAGTAATTAGCCTCCAACTAATAAAAATAATTGGGGGATAAAAAAAAAAGAACACCAATCAATTTAATGATAATTGAGATAATTTTGAAAGACTGTTACAGATACATTAATGTGTGAAAATTAACCCAATTAAATACTAACAAAATGTGAAAAAAAAAACAAAAAAAAAGCATAAAATGAATTCTATTGTATAAGCAATATAAAATAAAACTATAACATAAAAGAATAGAACAAAATAGGAAATGCAACCTAATGTAATAAAACATGTAAAACGAAATTAAAACAGACTAGAAAAATAATCCTCGAGCCTCCTTCTCCCTCAAAGAATCACTAAGCCTTCAGTCACCTGTTACAGTTCTTTCTTCCACCTCTTGCAAAGGTGAGGAATCTCAAGTTTCACTGACCTTTCTAGAATCACACAGCTCTTGAGTTGGCAGGGCTTAGACTAGAACCAATTCATTAATGTCCATGTCTCTCAAGTAGCAGAGGCGCAAGTGCTGTATCTCTACTTCTAAGGTGTCCATCAGACTTCCTTTATTCCCTCGGTGACAGAGGAGCTTTATGTGAAGGGATGTCATACCCACTTATAAACTGAGAAACTGGTGTCTCCCAGCAAAGAGGCCAAGAAGGCCTCCCATGTCCCAAGGAGGTACCCACACATGAGTTGTTTGGTACTATGCACAGTTGGACAAAGCCCAAGACAAACTCCTACGAACGTGACCAGCATAATACCCACCCTCCAACCGAACCATCTCCATCATCATGCTAGGATACAGATTTGGTGCCAGTTACCCATAAATCTCATTCAACTTGTTCTGACTGGAAGTGAGGAAGTAGAACAGGATACAGGAAAGAATTCTGGCCAAGATGCACGGTCACAGCATTTTTCACTGGCGCTCCAACCTGAGATGGGAGGTTCCAGATTCTTGTCCTGTCTCCCTCATTTCCTAGCAAGTCCCTGAAAACTCCTGCAAAGTATGGTCCCTGAACCAGCAGCAGCAGCATCAACAGGGAGCTTATTTAAAACGCAGACTGCCCACTTTGCTGCACAGAGAAATTTAACACAACATTGTACACTGACTGTATTCCAATGAAATCTTTTTGAAAAATGCAGACTCTCAAGCCCCAGCTCAGACTCACTGAATCAAAATCCAAAGTTCAACTAGATCCCCAGGAAAAGCATGCACATGTTAAAATCTGAGCAGCACGGTTCCATAGCAGTGGATTCTGGATCCCTGGACACAGTAATAACAGTAACTGTGCTTCATGCGTGTACCACAGTGCTGCTTCCACGCACATATCTGAACACAGGCTTCACAAATAGGGGAGAGACTTTTATCCTCGTTCTGCTAAATGACAAAATCAAAAGATTCACTGGAAACCCGAGGCCTCCCAGCCACCAGACAAGAAGCCAACACTAAGCCTGGCACAGTGTCAGGGCAACATAGCTTAGGGTTTTCAGGAAGCGTGGTGCTCCCTGGGGTCTCCCCTAGAGGTGGAGACCCCAGGGCAGCCTACAGCTCAACAAGGGTGAAGGTGCCATGGGTACCCACCCACCCATATACCAGGCTCTGTGCTTGCCTCTTCCCACCCTACCCGGCATCCCCATCTGCTCACTTTTTAAGGGGTTCAGGAAGGCCCGCGTGAAGCCCAGGGCATAAGTCACCTCCGCCTCCGAGACCCCTTCTAGGTGCAGCAGGTGCTGCTCCCAGGGGGAGCTGGCCACGTGGACCAGCTCTGCCAGCTCGTGGGTCCCCACGCCTGGGCCCAAGGCCAGCACAAACAGAGTGATGCCCTTGCACTTGGCCTCCAGGGACAGAGTCCTTAACTTCTCCCTGTCCCAGCTGCTGGTCTCGCTGGCCACGATGGCAAAGAGGACCTGAGCCCTCCGGAGCAGCGGGACAGCCGGGAGCACCTTCTCCAGCGTCCACTCCAGGGCATGGCCCAGGGCGGGCGCTCCCCGCAGGGGGTGGCCCACGGCCTCGCAGACGCTCCTCTGCGTCTGCGTCCGGTGGCCATACGCGGTCAGGTGGAAGCCCTCGAGCACGGGGGACCGCCCCCCTCCAGGCCAGAAGCCAGGGGTCGTGTGTGTCACCAGGGCCACGCGGGCTCCGCGGGGGGGGGGGGACGCACTTGGCTGCCTAGCCACCTCCACCTCTTCGAGCACGGCGTCCACCAGGGTCAAGGCTGCGCGGTAGAGATCAGCGCCCCCACCATGAGAGCCATCCACCACAAAGGCGATGTCCACGTCCACCTGCAGGGGCCTGGGTGTGCCCCACCTGCACTCCGGGGCCGGAAGGCACTGATCTGCGGAGGAGAAGCCGGGTTACCATGTGTCCTTTCCCTTGCCAGGCACACATGCTTCCCGGCACTCAGTAGGGAGAGCGGCTGCTGAAGCCTGCTCCTTCGGGGCTGACTTCGGCCAGCAGACGGGCGCGTAAATAAATATGCCTGGTTTTCAGAAGGCAGAGTTGAGAGTACATCTGATTCCACAGTTAATGTTTCTAGCCACTAGGCCATATGGCTTCCTAACCCCTAGGTTCACAGCCCCGCTACTTGGTACAGTCAGGCCGGCCTCTTACTGGGTGTGTGACCTGGGGCACATCTGTCTGATGGAGATAGAAAGCGGAAGTGAGAGTGAAGTCGCTCAGTCGGGTCCAACTCTGCGACCCCATGGACTGTAGCCTACAAGGCTCCTCCGTCCATGAGATTTTCCAGGCAAGAGTACTGGAGTGGGGTGCCATTGCCTTCTCCACCGATGGAGATAATGATACTCGTAATAATAAACCTCCCTTATGGAGCTGTTTGTGCAGTTTTTAACTTTGAAATGAGTTAATATACATAAGCGCTCAGAACAATGCCTGTGTAGTCAAAGCTCAGGCTCCACAAACTCCAGCTGGGTTTTCACTTGTGCAGGAGGTGGGTACAGGCCCAGAGAGACCACAGCGTCAAACAAAATAGTGAACGGGAAAGCAGTTCATCAGCTGTAACGAGCTCCACGAACAGCAGCTCCTGTATCTGACCAGGTTTTCAGAGCCACGCCTCTCGTGGCAGTTTTGGGACTTAGTGTGGATTCAGAAGAGGGAGCCACAGAATTCCCCTTTTGCTTTCCTGTCCAGGACTCGGGGGGGCCCCAGGGGAGGTGATGTGCAGGACAGCTCTTCACAGGTGGGCGTGCGTGGGTTTCAGCAGCACTGCTCTTTCTGTGTCCAGGCCGGTATTAGGTGTGGGAAGCTGGGGTCTCTCCGAGACCCTGCTGGTGGCCAATGGCAATTCCAGGCCGAGAACTCAAGGCTCTTGACCTTCGTTCAGTGGTCTGCCCGTCACACTAATGGGCCAATGAGGAAGGGACATGAACCCAGGCATATCCAGGAGCCTTGACAGGACCGGTAAGGAGGCGGAGGGGCTGGGATGAAAAGCTAGGGAGCGGGAGGGACCGGATGGCGGGGCACTAGCAGACACTTGCTTTCCAAAGGGGGCAGGCACCGCGCATCTCTGGCTGACTGTGGCCACAAGGGAATGCCGTGTCTGAGACTCTCCAGCCCATTCTGACTTCCCAAAAAAAACTGATACACATCTGCGGAGCAGAGCTGGCCTGTGGCCACCAGCTAATTCACCCTGCTTTGAAGACATCAATCCCACCAGCAGTGCCGTCCAGGCTTACCACAGCAGAGTGTGCAGCGGGCCATGCCTTCTGCACGCTGCTGGCTCTCCATCTCCCAGACATACAGATGAAATCTGTTGTTTCTATTCATCTAGTGCCAACACATACACGAGGTTATCATTAGCAGAGCTAAATCTCAGGCCATATTTTTCATGCACCTTCCAATTCAGATGAGAAAAACATTAATATGATATTTTTAAAGAACACGTGTAACTCTCTATGTCTATATAATTTGGCACTTCTAGTCCAGCTATTTACAGTCACTTAGTTCTCCAGTCCTAACCTAGAGGCTGGACTATACCATCGGTGTGGGCACATGAGGTGTGGCCACGTGTATAAAACTCAACCAACGTTAGGTTGTGTTGGAGTGAGGGTAAGGGAGTTAAGGCTTCAGTCATCTATAAATTCTGTAAATCTTCAGCAATTGTCCACCGTGTGTGATGCAGTGTGGTGGGAGTTATTAATCATGAACATGTAGACCCTTCAAGGACATGGCCACAGATCCAGGTCATAAGCCACCAGGATGGAAGGAGGCAGAAATCATCAGAGAGTCCAGAGCTGGTAAGAAGGAGGGAGAATCAGGGAAGGTTTTGTAGGGATGACAAATCCATTTGTCTCCTTCACAGAACCTTTCCTATAATGATTAATTTAGTAATTGATATCAGGTTTAAAAGACAAATTATATTAACAGTAATGAATCCAGCAAGGTCCGTGTGATAACTGGCTAGACAACCAACAAACTTATTCTCTCTTCTTCTGAAAACTAGACTACATTTTCATCCTTCCCTGCAGTCACTTGGACCATATGACCAGGGTCTAGCCAACAGCATGGAGGTGGAGGCGGTGAACACCATTTCCAGGGTATGCACGAGCTCCCCCGCCTCATTTGGCAGCCAGCTGTGGGGGATTCAGAAAAGGCCTCGAGTCCCTAGGGCATGATGGGGTCACTGACAGAAGGAGCCTGGGTCCTGAATGCAGCAAAGTACCCTTCCCTTCACCCACACCCCCAAGGAACCCACATCACTGGTGACAGATGAAGAAATAACACTTCCTGGTGTTGAGCCCCTAAGACTGGGGCAGGAAAGCTCTGGCTAATGCAGGCTCTTTGCAGGGCTTCCACCTTGTAATGATTAGAAATACTTTCATATTATTTCTCTCAGGAATTGAGGTGTGGATTGCAAAGAGCCAGATCTAAGCTTGGTCACGGCCATGTGGTTTTCCACTCTGTCAAAGCATGTAGGACAGGGACTTCCCTCGTTGAGAATTTGCCTTCCAGTGCAGAGGGCACAGGTTCGATCCCTGGTTGGGAAAGACCCCACATGCCCGTGTGGGGCAGCCAAGCCCGAGTACCACAGCTCATGAGCCTGTGGTCCACAAGAGAAGACCGCACGCTGCAACTAAGGCCCAGCACAGCCAAATAAACATATAAAATAAATCATTTTTTTAAAGCGTGTAGGACAGTACCTCCCTGGGAGTCAGCACTGCCCCCTGCATCCCTTTGGCTGGGACCAAGCACACCTGGCCCCTCCTCTGGTGGCAAGGTGCTCAGCATGCAAAGATGTCATGCCTGTCCTCAGGGAGCAGACGGGCGGGGTTTACTTTGGAAAAGAACATTCTGGAACACACACGCCTTACAGAGCATCCACTCTTTCTGTTAGGACTGCCGTGTATCCCCAGCGTGATCCTTCACACTGAGCTTTCCTGAAGGAAAAACCCTTGTGGGGAAAGAAATACCGAGAGTGGAACTTTTTATAACACGAAACAAACATGAGAACATTCCTAAGTCTTCCGTGCTAAAAGCCATCCAAAATGAGGCTTTTTCCTGACTTATTCATTCGAGTAAAGCAAGACAGATGAAATAGCTGCTACGTAAAAGACATAACAAACCATTTGGAGACACAAAAATGACAGAGTCACACATTCAAAGAGCCTTAAAACCTAAGTGGAAGGATGGAGAAACCATTTTCAGGAAAGAAAGAGACCCCATAACACATTTTAGTAACACAGGAACCGGAGATTCATTTCAAAGCAGGTGGATAAAGGGAACCTGATGAGGATAACGACATCTGGCACTTTGGGGAGAATCAGGACGACCCTCAACTGGCAAAGAAGCATTATGGTGTGAAGGAACAGCATGCACGGATGCCCGGAGATAAGCAGTGGTTATTCATGATTCTTCTCAACATCCTCTACCCCCAGAGACAAGAAAAGACAGACTCCAACAGGCAGCACATCTGAAACCCTGCAACACCCAGCCAGATGGAGGAGGCTGACACGAGCAGCGAGTGTGAAGTTGCCAACACCCAACACTCAGATCCATCCCACACAGTCATCAGATCTGAGTGTCGACCAAACTAAAGTGGGCGTAATAAATCACCAAGCATTAGAGACAACACTGTCGGCATGGATGTGGCACATTAACAGCTTTCCTGGAAACCACGTGAGGCAGCTTGGAAGGCTTCTGAAACAAGGATCCACAGCAGTGTTCCAGGAGATATGAGAAGTCTGGGGTCACACTGGGAATGTGGACTTTCCTCCAGGAGTTGTGGGAAAAGGCTAACCTGGGGAATATTATGCTTAAATGGTGGGAAACATGGTTAAAGTGTCTTATAAAATGCAAAATTGATGAGACTTTTAGAGGTAGTATGAAAGACTTCAAATAAATTCAAGCATACCCTCAAGTTTGCATTAATTATAAAGGGAAGTTCTAGGCAACATCAATGGAACTAGGTGTCGGGAGCTCAGGTCCTAGCCCTTGGTTTGCTGGAATCGGCTGGGCGGCCTTGGACAAGCCTTTGGCCTATTTCCCCAACAACAGAACTTGGGGTAGGAGTCAATGCTGCTGGGGTTTCTTCCTGTCTCAACACAGCCTGGTCCTTCATTAGTGTTCCCTGCATCTGCCTTGTTCGAAACACGGTGTTAACTTTCTGCTCACAGCAGCTGAACTCCTCCATCTGCTGTTCTGCTGGCTGGAGAACAACCAAATCCAACTGAATTGGAATCACTACAAAACTTTTATCTTTTTTTAAACTCCGAGGAAGAATGCTTTTATGATAACGCTTAAAACTTTTTACTATTCTTGCGAAGATCAAATTGTGGGAACAAGTACACAAAGACCCAGTGGAGGTCTATGGGGAGCTCTGATTCACTTTAGACTTATTTGCATCTAGCTGTTGTTCATTAACAGCTCATTACTTTGACTTCGGGCTTGCCAGCACAGTCGCTGATAAGGTAGACAAATAAGATGATTCTGAAGAAGGCTCAAGCAGAGAGAACCTGAGGGGGGGAATGTCAGCGTGAAAAGAGGAACCCGGCCCCACGATCCCCACTGCAGACGACCCTCAGCGCCAGAGAAGGAAATCTCACCAACAGGGTGCCTGAAACACAAGCTACGTGATGCACAACAGCTCAGGGATGCACTGCAGTGTGAATCAGCACCTCTCGTGACTCCGTCAACCAGCTTCCCCTCTGAAAGTCCAGCTGTGCTCTGATGAGACCGAAGTGCGGTGAAGTCGCTCAGTCATCTCCAACTCTTTGAGACCCCATGGATTGTAGCATGCCAGGCCTTCTCAGTCCATGGAATTTTCCAGTCAAGAGTACTGGAGTGGGTTGCCATTTCCTTCTCCGGGGGATCTTCAGTTCAGTTCAGTTCAGTCACTCAGTCGTGTCTGACTCTTTGCAACCCCATGAATCACAGCACGCCAGGCCTCCCTGTCCATCACCAGCTCCCGGAGTTTACTCAAACTCATGTCCATCAAGTCGGTGATGCCATCCAACCATCTCATCCTCTGTCATCCCCTTCTCCTCCTGCCCCCAATCCCTCCCAGCATCAGGGTCTTTTGCAATGAGTCAACTCTTCGCATGAGGTGGCCAAAGTACTGGAGTTTCAGCTTCAGCATCAGTCCTTCCAATGAACATCCAGGACTGATCTCCTTTAGGATGGACTGGTTGGATCTCCTTGCAGTCCAAGGGACTCTCAAGAGTTTTCTCCAACACCACAGTTCAAAACCATCAATTCTTCTGTGCTCAGCTTTCTTCACAGTCCAACTCTCACATCCATACATGACCACTGGAAAAACCATAGCCTTGACTAGATGGACCTTTGTTGGCAAAGTAATGTCTCTGCTCTTTAATATGCTATCTAGGTTGGTCATAACTTTCCGTCCAAGGAGTAAGTGTCTTTTAATTTCATGGCTGCAATCACCATCTGCAGTGATTTTGGAGCCCAAAAAAATAAAGTCTGACACTGTTTCCACAGCTTCCCCATCTATTTGCCATGAACTGATGGGACCAGATGCTATGATCTTAGTTTTCCGAATGTTGAGTTTTAAGCCAACTTTTTCACTCTCCTCTGTAAAGACAGGTAAACTCCGGGATTTGGTGATGGACAGGGAGGCCTGGCGTGCTGCAGTCCATGGGGTTGCAAAGAGTCGGACACGACTGAGCAACTGAGCTGAACTGAACGGAAAGACATAGTGCGTGGGGGAGGGGCGGGAAAGGATAAAGCACGGGGATTTGCATAACCTTTCTCTTTTTTTAAAATAGGTAACATTCTTGAAGGATACAGACAACCTTCAAACCTCAGCCCCCAGCATTAAAGAACATTCTGTGGGCCCTGAGCTCAAGAAACCCACAAGGTTCAAATCAATACTTGACTGCTTTGGGGCTGAATTCCCAGAAGCCACAGGATGATGCTCTTTCCTGGGAATGAGCTGGAGGAGGCTCTTGGCTTGGGCAGATGGAAGAAGAGGGGAAGGAAGCAAGTGCTGAGAAGCAGGAGTCACCGTGAGCTGAGGAAGGGCTGATGGGGCCCCAGGGAGGCAGAGTTAGAAACCATCTGGCATCTCATTTCAGCTCCAGGCAGGAGACATGGCCCCACCAGGAACGCCACGAAGCTGCTGGCTCTTTCTGGATGTCCCAGCAAATGCTGGGGGCCGGCCTTGGATTGGGGGTGTTGAGTGACAGAGAGGAACCCGGGAATCAGACCTCCAGGGTGCGGATTCAAGACTGTGTCATTTAGAGCAAGTCAGTTCAGCTCTGACCTTCCCTCACTTCCTCTGGGAAATGTTTTATCATAATTAACTTGCAGGA